TTTTGTACTCAAATTACACAATTTATTCACTTTGACAACATTCTTTGATCGAAACTTCATAGACCTTCAAGTTTTTATATAAAAAGTGAAAAAAATGTGCTTGGTAAGTGGTTGAGTGGTATCTAAGGGTATAATAACAAAGAAAACTGAGGATCTGCATTTGAGAATATGGTGGGTGATTTTCCTTGAAACTGTAAAATTATACAAAATGTACAATGACTTATAAGACAAACATGTGCCCGCTAATTCGTCAGCGGAAATTCCAGCTTAAAACTGTCATTCCAAAAGTTCGTGTTAGGTCTTTTTTGTACTCAAATTACACAATTTATTTACTTTGACAACATTCTTTGATCGAAACTTCATAGACCTTCAAAGTTTTATATATTATTCAAGTTTTTTTATTTTTTTTTTCGGAAAGAATAATAGGAAAATGTTTTTTTTTTTACACCAAAAATCTTCCATTTTGAAGTTAACCGAGGAGGATATTAGTAAAACCATTGCACAATGGACTCGCATCCAATTTTTGTGTACAAAAGTATTTTAACGTTTCCATAGGTAAACCCTATAACCCAACATTGACTTCAATATCAAATTTCAGTGTTTCACCTCTATCACTTCAACCAATTCCAAATATAGTAACATAATTTCAGCTCTATCCCTTTACCCAATACTAATTTAGTACCTTTCGTACAATTAAAAAGTACACATTTCCATTATCACTTCCATATCTCAATCCCAGATACCAACAGAGATCTCAACATAAAATTTTGGGATTCCAGTTCTATCCCTTCACCCAATACATAATTTAGTACCCCTTAGTACTTGCCGTACAAAAGAGGACGCATTTACAAACCATCATCAAATCTTAAACACAGATTGCATCAGTAATCTTAATATCAAATTTCCGAATTTTATCACTATTCCTTTGCCTAATATCAAAAATAGTACCTTTCAGTAACTTTCGTCCAATATAGTACACATTTCCAAAACCACCACCAGACTACCAAACTACTACATGGACAACGGCCCTTATATAAAATTTCAGATTTCAAGCACTATTTGTTCACCCAATACCCAATTGTACCAAATATAATACTATTAAGTACTTGTCGTGCTCTTGTAGTATACATTTCAAAAACCAGCTTCTTCTCTCAACCACAGACACAAACATTAAACTTGGGGATTCCATCTCTATCCCTTCACCCAATACCAAATTATGTACTTTGAGTACATTTAAATTACGCATTTTCCCAAAAATCTCCATATCGTAATACAAATACCAACAGAGGCAAACATGAGGATTCCAGCTTTATCCCTTCACCCAATATCTAATTTAGTATCACTTCGTACTTTTCAAACAATTGTAGTACACATTTCCAAAACCATTTCCATATCTTAACCACAGACACCCATAATGACACCCATATCAAAATTCAGGATTTCTGCTTAATTCCTTCATCCAATACCAAATATTGTTATACTTAGCACTTCTCTTACAATTATAGTACGCATTTGCAAAACCGCCTACATATCTCAAACACAGATACCACCAGAGACCTTAATATCAAAATTCGGGATTGAAGCTTAATACAGGCACTCAATACCAAATTTAGTACTTTTCGTGTAATTTTTGTACAACAGATATCGCAATATAAAATTATAGGATCTTAGTTTTATCCCTTTACCCAATAGCAAATGTAAGACAATTTAGTGCTTTTTGTACAAATATAGGATGCATCTCCAAACGAACTCCAAATCTCAAACACAGGTACCATCGGTAATCTAATTATCAAATTTCAGAATTTTATCACTATCCCTTTACCCAATATCAAATATATTACCATTCAGTAATTTTCGTACAATTATTTCCGAAACCACCTTCATATGTTCGGGCAACACATGAACGGCAACCTTAATACCAAATGTCGCATTTCAAGCACTATCTGTTTTACCAATATCATATTGGACATATACAGGGTGAGATAAAAAACTGCAGCAAAGTCAAACACCAAAATTTTCAAATTTTTTTTAATTTTATTGAATAAAAGCAAAAAAAGTCGGAAATAGCATCAAATTTTAGAATAAATTTAGATTTGTTCGAATTGGTCACCTTTGGCACGAATTATGGCCTTCAAACGGCCAATGAAACCGTCACACGCTGCCCGAATATTGCTCTGCGGTATTTTGGCCCATTTCCGGCGAAGCGCTTGTTTGAGGTGATCGACACTTTGGTATTTTTAGTGCCAAACTAGTTAGTTCTGGTGGCCAACCGAAGTTGTACATTTTCAGGTGACCTCTTTGGCAAGTAAACACGATCATTTGTTTGTTTACAAACTGCTGGACAACGAATGGTTTCTCATCGGAGAAAAGCAAATTCGGCAGTTCACCACTTTCGACCAAGCGCAGCAACTTTTTAGCTCTTTTGAGTTTATTTTCTTTCAGTTTCGGTGTTAGTTCTTGCACTTTTTGGAATTTCAATGGCTTTACCCCGAGCTAATTTTTCAATATTTGCCGAATGGAATATTGCGATATGTTCAGCTCAGGATTTGTGCTCCAATTTAATGAAGCAGTTTCATGAAATGGATGAAACGTTACGTTATGGCGTTCGTTCTTAGGTCAACCAAATGATACATGGAAATTTTCATCTCAATTGGACAGTAATGGCGATCTGTATTTTGTTCATAAAAATACATGTGCAGACGGTCAGACTTATTGACATGCATAAACCGACTCAGAACGTGATTTTATAAAGATCATCCAAAAAGTAGGGTTTATCTTGCGTATTTCTACCTGTTACAAACAAATGCAGAACGAGAGATTACCCTCTAGCACAGTGTGGTGTAGGTATTAAGAAGTAAAAAACAGCAAAAGTTCGGCCGGAACGAACATTTAATACCCTCCATTTTCATTTCACTGAATCAAGGAAGAATTTTCATTACATTTATGAACAATTTCGTTAATTTTACATTAATGAAACTCGATGAAACTTTTTTCATTTATTCAATGAACTTCTACGTTGGTTCAAAATCAATAACAAATTTCATTGACGGAACGTAGGATTTTATTTATGGTATGAAGGTTTTTCTTTCTGTGTACATACCAGATACCAACAAAGAGCTTAATATAAAATTTCGGGATTCCAGTTCTATTGCTTCACCTAATAAAAACCAAATAGTACTACTCAGTACTTTTCGTAAAGTTATGTTACATATTTCCAAAAACCACCTCCATATCTCAATCGCAGATACCAACAGAGTCCTCAATATCGAATTTCGGGATTTTAGCTCCACCCATTCATCCAATACCTAATTTAGTACCACTTAGTACTTTTCGAACAATTATTGTAGATATTTCCTAAACCACCACCAGATACCAACAAACACCTGAACATCCAATTTTAGAATTTTATCTCTGTCTATCTCTGTCTATCTCTTTTCATTTAATTTTGTAAAATTTGGGTATTTTGAGTTCATATTATGTAAAAACGTAACAGGCGAAAAATTATCAATATAGGTCCACGTTTAGGTACAGCCCATATATGGAGGGCTCACTGCTATACCGAACCAAGTCATGAAAAATAAAAAATGCGGAAATTAGTGCCAATGTCCCCGTATATGGAAACTCTTTTTACTCTGTAAAGCACAATGTCAGAAAGTGTTTCGTTCCAAAGATGACGGTAAAAAACCTAAGTCAACGACTGTTATTTTCGACTTTTTTCAAAGAAAAATAAACCAAGTCAGTGTGTTTCACTTTGAATCAGTACTATTAGTGAGCACGTGTTTATTGTGGTTCAGTTTTCGGCAATATTAAAAAAATCAGTGTTTTCTATAAATGGATAGTAATAATAGCAGTGCTAGTGATTTTTCCAGTAATGAAGATGAGGAATATTTGCCAGCCCCAAAAATGATGAAGACGGAAATGACGAATTTTTATGTGTAAATATTTGTTGAAACCATGGTAAAATTAAGAAGGTAAAGTCATTTCAAATAAGCATATCCATCTCTGCATTCTGTGTAATTTACTCTGTCAAATTTCCCTGCCTAGGAAGCAGGTTCCCATCTCTGATTTGTATGTACAATGCATTTATAAATATACATTTTGACAATGAGATGTTGTCAAATGCATAACTTTGAAAAAAAAAAAAAAACAAATAAAAAAGCTGTAAGTTCGGCCGGGCCGAACTTTAAATACCCTCCGCCATTTGGTACAAATTTGACAATTTCCAAAAATTAAAATCCATTAAAAATTCTGTTAAAATCTTAAAAATACCGAATATAGCCGTTATATTGGGGTCTATACGACGTGGACATACATAGGCATTGTTTGTCATAAGCCATTACCATATTCAAATTCGAAACTTGAAATAAACAGTGAATAATGTAGCTAAAATCATCAAAATATCGTATATAAGGAGGTGCCGTTATATCGGAGCTGTGCGAAGACCTGGACCAGCATAGACAATTTTCTGTAACAGGCTGTAGCATCCATTACGAACTTCAAATACCACATCTCAAACAATTTCGGTGGGTATTGTACCTAAAATCGTCAAAATACCGAATATAGGGAGGTACTGATATATGGGGCCTATACGAAGACCTGGACCCGCACAGACAATTTTCTGTCACAGACTGTAGTTCCCATAACGAACTTCAAATACCAATTTTGAAACAATTCCGGTGAATAATGTTGCTAAAATCATCAAAATACCGAATATAGGGAGGTACCGTTATATGGGGGCTATATGAAAACGTGGACCTACATGGCCCCTTTACGAACTTAACCTGCCTACTGGAAAAATAAACATGTGTGCAAAATGTTAGCCATCTATCTCAATTCATTCGAAAGATAGGATGATTACAACAGACAGACAGACAGACAGACGGACAGACGCACATCGCTAAATCGACTTAGAATTTTACGCTGATCAAGAATATATATATTTTGTTGGGTCTGAAATGAGTATTTCGAAGAGTTACAAACGGAATGACAAAGTTAATATACACTGAGGGAAAAATCCCGTTGCGAAATCAAGCACGTATGTTGTCATTTTCGCAACGACCCGTTGTTATTTTTTTCAACAACGGCTGTTGGTGAATTGTACATGAACGTGCTCAAATTGACACCGAGACGTGGTCAACTTTCGGTACCAACAACAGCCGTGCTTAATTTGTCCACCGATGTGCTCAAAATGACAACGTTGGGTTTTTAATATTGGTAATTGCAGCCGATTACACACGAGTAAAAAATGACAACGGTGGTGCATGATTCACACACGGTCGTTGTCAATATGACACCGGTCGTGTATGAATTATGCACCACCACCTGCATAATGATGCACCACCGTTGTTACTTTGTACACCGACGTGCATGAATCGTACACGATCGTTGCCATTTTAGCAACTACCGTGTATGAATCATGCACCACCGTTGTCATTTTCTTACTCGTGTGCAATCGGCTGCATATTTTCCATTTTTCCGTGTTATTGAAAGAAAAAGGACGCATTGTGCAAAAATTTATTGAAAATGAATAATAATTCGCAAGATGCTCAAAATATTATTGGTGAGTTGTTAGAAATCGATGGCAATATTGTTGTGGTTCGCGATACAAGCCATTGCAGCAGTCAAGATGCGGAAAACAATGAGGACGATTATATGTTAAGGGAGTTCTTAAAAGGAATAAATATGTAGTCTCTTTTTGAACAATTAAAAGGTAAGTAAATAAAAATGAAGTTTTCAGTTAAGCAGGGTAATTAACATAGAATTTTCTTTTTTGTTCTTTTAGCATCACATGTATCATTTCGCAGTTTGCGAAAAAAGAAGATTTAAAGGAAGCAGTGCCACCATTGGGACTGCGTGTTGAATTCTGAGAAAAGCTCTTTGCTTGGAAAAAACGAGAGGTACGTATTATTTGTATTACAGTGTTGAACTCAGTATTAATATTGTCATAACAATAGCTCGGGATTGATGACGAAACTATGTCAGTTTAAAATAGGTGAATGGTGGAAACGCAACGAGACACCTACAAGTACTCCTGGTACTCCCGACACTACAGGTTCGAACTGCTCAAAAGCCAAAGGAATTTTGTCAGAGGTAAAGTAAGAGTAATATTTGTGTAAGCATAGTTAATGTAGTTTTTTAATTAATATAGGATCTAACGGAATTGTTAACACATACCTCGAAGGGGAACCTACGCTTGACTGTAGAAGCGTTAATAAGAAATTAAGTGACGAGCAAAGAAATGATATAATTAATATAATTATTGAAGATATTTTAACCAACAATGTTGCTCTTTACACTCAAGACTATATGCGCATATTGGACGAAATTTGTTCCGTTTTTCCTCTTGAAAACGAAATGAGGGTAAGATTAACAATATAAGCAACGTATCTGATTATGTAGTTTCTTAACTTATAATATGTCTTTATTTTTAGGATTATTATTACATTTCAACAACAACGCAGAACGACGCAAGCGGAAAACTTTATGCCAAGTATAGAAACAAGAAGCCCAAAAGAATAAAGCTTTTGATTTCCGAACCTAGCACAAGCAAAGCAGCAACTCACACGTCTCCTAATTTTTGTAACAAAGATGTTCCCGAAATTAATGAATTAGTTGAGATTCATTGAAAGCTTCCTTACTAAGAGAATGTAATGATTGGGGATCGATCTGCAAAAAATGGAAAAGATCTTTTAACATACGGCAAAGAGATATAAAAAAATGGCCGAAGTTGTCCGATGCAAGAGTTTCAGAATTGGTAAGTAGCCATGAGTCAAATATTTATGTATGGCATTTTACTTATATCCTATGAATAATGGAAAAGTTTATTTCAGATTAAAGTTAATTTAATTTGTTTCTATACATTAAATATATGTAATTCAAATTGTTTTGTTAAATTAAATATGTATTTATATTGAATGTATTTATATTGAATTTATGTAATTGGTTTCGTTCATTAAAAATTTAAAAAAATTTCGTTTCTTTTACTAAGGGTATAAAATGGGAAAGGAACGGATATCAAAAAAAATGACCACCATTGGTTTCAATCTGACAACGGACGTTGACAATCCGACAACGGAGCGTTGACAATCTGACAACGAAGCGTTGACAATCTGACAACGGGGCGTGCTCGAAATGACCACGTATGTGCTCATTTCATGCACGTCTGTTGTTGAAACCGTTGCCAAAATCTCGGTGTCAAAATGACAACGGCGTGCTCATTTTGATACCAAACGTGGTTGATACACTATCATACACGGATGTGGTCGTTTCATACACGGATGTTGTCATTTTTTCTCTGGGTGTACCCTCCATAGTATGGTGGAGGGTTTAAAAACAAGTAAAAAATCTGTAAGTTCGGTAGAGCCGAACTTTAAATACCCTTCGCCATTTGGTACAAATTTGGCAATTTTCAAAAAATTAAAATCCATTAAAAATTCTGTTAAAATCTTAAAAATACCGAATGTAACCGTATATTAGGGGCTATACGAAGACGTGGACCTGCACAGACAATTTGCAGTCATAGGCTGTAGTATTCGCTACGAACTTCAAATACTAAATTTGAAATAGTTCCGGTAATAGTACCGCATATCGGAAGGTACCGTTATATGGAGGCTGTACGAAGACGTGGACTTACATGGCCCATTTGTAATACCAAAAGTTCTGCAGACATAATACACATTAGAGTAAATTTTTATCAACTTACTTCATTTCGTTCGGATGCTAGAGTGATTTCCTCAGACGAGGTGTTACAAACGGAATTACAAACGTAATATACCCTCCATACTATGGTGGAGGGTATAAAAATGCAAACATATAATTGTAAACATATAATTTTTTTTTGACTTGGTTCGCTTTAGCTGTGAAACCTTAGAATTTTATTCAGAGTAATAATGAACCAAAGTAGATTTTTTTGTTGCTGAATATTTTTTTTGTAATATATTTAAATTATTTTTATTTTAAATTAATATCAATAGTTAATTTAGAATATTGACTTTTACATTTTCTTTTGGTAGACTAAAATATTCCTTCCAGAAATTAATGGCAGTGCATTTACTTTACCTCTAAATATCTTCGAACTAAGTTTTTATGACTTAGTTCGTTATAGCTGTGAGCCCTTCATATATAGAAATACCCCTGATATTAGTTATTGCTAGATATTATATTTATCCAAACGAATTCTCCCATTCTCTTATCATTGATTTATTTACTCATATTAATTGAAAAAATCATATTCCCAGCATATGCTACACACTTTCCCCATCGCCACTTTTACGTAATTCCCCCGACACATGGATCATTGATTAACATATTGACAAAGGTCATGCCCAAAATGTGCCGCCTTTCCCTCGCATCTAGGTAGCTTATGTCGTAACGAAAATGCTGGAAGAAAAACAAACAACTTTCCTGTCTCTAATCAAACATCAAAAGCAATAAACTGGTTTTTTGTTCTTCGTCTTTCACATTTCACAGTTGTTCCAAATTTTCTTATATCCTTTGGGGAGAAAGTTAATATTTTTTGAGGGAAAAAATAAGGAATACCCAAAAAGGTCCTTGCAAAAAAAGAGAATCATCAAAAGCATGACATAAAAGGTCAAAGCATGATTTAAATCCCTATTTCAAAAGAATTTCATAAAGTTCTCATACTTACAGTTGAGTGATAAGGATGCTTCCCCTCCCCATTCTATTTCTTTTTGCTTTACGTAAAATGAGGAAAATATTCAGATTTGGATTTCAAACAGACAATTTAGCATCAGCAACAAACACACACATACACACATGAATAGATGGAAGAAAGTTGCTTTGATACCACGACCAGACCCTTTAAAGTGAGACACTTAAGAAGAAAGATCTTACTTCCACACCAACCAAAGGCAAGGAGCGAGACGAGTGGAGAGGCTGTGAGTATCTCCCACTCAGAAAAGGGTGTAAATTTCCACACAGCCTTCCGTCTTTGTGTGTTAATATTGTTAATAGTATTGGCATTTACGGCAAGTAATGGCGACATTTTCATGGGAAAATAACCCAAGATTGTTTGGAATTGGGTTACCTTCGTTCACAAATTCCCTTTGAAAGTAGAACGTGTTTTACATATTTTGTGAGGATTAGTAGAATAAAGGATAAATGCCCCTTTGGGGGGGGGGTGTATCAAGGTCACTTATAATACGGAAGTCTTATGTAAAAGAGGGGAGAGGGATATAAAAGAATTTAATAAAGCTACAATATGTGTGCGCCCACCACAACTTCGTTTGCAATATGTTTTAATCAATGTGTAAACAGACATTTTTGTGCTACTGTGTGTTCCTTTTTTCTAAATATGTTACCTTTTTGGTAGTTTGTAACCATTTTCCGAAAAGTTGTTTTGTATATTCGTTGGCTTATTGTAACAGCGGGTATGCACTATTTGCCTGGCTGGTGAAACAATAATTATTTACACCCTCATTTGATACGGCCGAATAGCCCAGTCAGTCAAGTACCTCCCGCACAGAGAGTGAAAATTATGAATAATTAGAACTCCTATAAAATGTAAAATATGTGTTCGATTGTCTTATAATTTGACATATCTCAATATTTTTCACAACATACGTTTTGGTATTGAAAACGGATGTAATAGACCACCCTTTCTAGTACCTTCCCACAGCGAAATGGTCATCCGATTCTATTCAAATTCGGCGCATTTCAAAACACAATCAGGTGTGAAGATGTTAGATATCGGTCCATTCCTTCTGATACCTACTGGATGAGATGAATAAACTACAACCAACTTCAGGCAGAGAATTTTTCCGAAAAAAAAGTTATTCGTGTGAAATTTAAGCGTGATACTGTGATTTCTTTATATTTGGCTGGAAAACCGCAAGTGGCTATCGTTAGAGCACCCCAGCATTTAAATGTGAATAAATCTTTTGTGTCTCATACAATCGCTCGTTACCGTGATACTAGGTAGGAAGTGGACGGAAGAAAACAGCAACATCAGAAGAAATGGTTCGAAAAGTAAAGAAGGCTCGTGAGCTGAACATATCGCAATATTCCATTCGGAAAATATTGAAAAATGAGCTCGGGGTAAAGCCATTGAAATTTCAAAAAGTGCAAGAACTTACACCACAACAGAAAGAAAATAGACTCAAAAGAGCTAAAGATTTGCTTCGTTTGGCCGAAAGTGGTGAACTGCCGAATATGGTTTTCTCCGATGAGAAAACATTCGTTGTCCAGCAATTTGTAAACAAACAAAATGATCGTATTTACTTGTCAAAGAGGTCAACTGAAAATGTGCACCTTCGGGTGGCCACCAGAACTCAAGCGCCGGCCATGGTGATGATGTGGGCCGCCGTAATAATTATTCGCATAATGTTCGAATAAACCTCTCCCACAAACGGTCACAATTTTAGATACTCTCGTAATCAATTTCTCATAACTTGCGAAACAAGTCAGCGATTTCTTTCTCATGTGAATATGGAATTTATCGGCACGCTCCTTCTCGTACCAAAGGTTGAAATTTTGAGTAATATTTATTTTCTTGAAATTTTGCACATCCCAAACAATAATTTTTTATCAGTATTTGATAAAGTCCACTATATCTGGTACTCACACGCATTTCAACAATTAAAAAAAATAATCCCATATTTCATACAGAGCAAAGGAACTCTTAAATTTGGAGTGAGGGTCATAGATGGAGTGCATGCTAGATGTACCAAAGGATTTTTGGAAATTAACCATTTCGTTTCATGTGAACGATTAGAGCTAAAAACGTGAAATTTGAAATGAAAATAAAGGCTGAGCAGTATGGTCGATATAAAAAGGTAATTTTGGAATTATGTAAAGTACTGAATAATACTATACAAATTGAATTTAGTGGAACGGATGGAGGTAAAATCCTGAAATTTGATATATGTAGATGTTACAATTGGTGTCACTGTGGTTAAGAAATGGAGTTGGGTTTGAAAATGCGTCCTTTATTTGTACGAAAACTACTAAGTGGTACTAAATTTGGCATTAGTTGAAACAATAAAGCTGGAATCCTCAAATTTGATGTTGAGGTCTTTGTCTCTGTCTGGAATTGAGATATAGAGGTGGTTTTGTAAATGTGAAAACTTTTTCCAATTATTCTTTTTAAAAAAGGAAAACCTTGAATAAAATATAAAATCTTGAGTCTGGAAATTTAGTACGATGTATGAAAATATGATTACAAAATTTGTCAAACTGAACAAACCGTGTATTTGTGTACTAGAAAGTTCTAACAAGAACTGTTGGGACGCTGATGAAGTAGCGCGCACTTGTTATTATTCAAAATAAACGAATAGTGGTTGAGGGTATATATATCTGTCGGTAAAGATGATTTGAATATCATTATTGGTCGTATACAATGATTTAACTTATTGACATTTTCTTAGTTTTTGGTACTCACTTTCCAAAATAATCAACACAATCAATCACGGCTCGAAATCCCGACCATTTTATTGTATTTTGACCTTTAAATGCTTTCCGGTCTTGCACTGCCAACCGTAATTTTTGAGAAGCCTGGCTGTACATAAAAATGTATGTCAAAAACCAGTAAAGAAAGTCTAAAAGTAGGGCAGGGCCGACTTTATGATACCCTACACCACTTTGCTAATTTAGTAGAGCTCCACGTAACAATTAAAAGTTTTTATGGGAGAATTCAATCATACGTGCTATGATTATAATTATAATTTAAAGTTCAAAGGACTAAATATGCCGAAGAATTTGTATCTTTTAAATTCGGACTTGTAGTGCCCATTTCGTGCACAATTAATTTGAAATCGGATAAAAATATATATGGGAGCTTTATCCAAATCGGAACCGATTTCGATAAAATTTGGCAAAGATATATCTGAGCTGTATTTGATATATTTCCCTGAATATCGTTGTTACGGAGTGCATATTACGGCTGTGGGTAACAAATATGACAAATCGGATGAATAGTATATATGGGAGCTATAGCTGAACCGATCTTCACCAAATTTGACATACTAACTTCTAGACTCAATTCGGTTGTAAGTGCCAAATTTCATCCAATTTGGGCAAATATTAGACGTTTGGTGCACAATAAAATGTAAATCGGACGAAGTTATATATGGGAGCTGTATCCAAATCTGAACCGATCTCGATAAAATTTAGCAAAGGTATTTCTGAGCTACATTTGATATATTTCCCCAAATATTGTTGTTACAGAGTGCATATTACGGCTGCGGAAGACAAACATAACAAATCGGATAAACAATATATATGAGAGCTATAGCTATATCTGAACC